ATTCTGGGAGTTGAAGTCCACACATCTTAAAATTGCCAAGGTTGAGAAACACTGTTTTAGACAGTCCGTATGGGAGGTGATTGAGGTCTGCAAGCTTCTGAGTTCTGCAGCACCTTGTTTTGAAGGACGTGGGCCAGGTATTGCTAATTTTATCTCCAACCAGTGTTCCTGTCCCCATGGCCTTGATCCGATGGTCAATAGGATTTGAAAAGAAAGGGAATGAGAATTGGGTTTGTTCTCTGGCTGAAAGATCGGCTTCAAGTCCTCCATCTCTCCCTCAGCATCGTAAATCCAGGAGGCCAGTTCCGACCTAGCCGGCTCTGTAAGGCAGCCATGCTGAAGTCCTTCAGGAAGGTGGCTCAGGAGATGAAGAGGGAGGACCTGATGTTGCTACCCACGTACCACGATGCTAAGGTGACCCTTTCAATCTAATCTCTACCCCCCAGGTATCACAACAGGATTTATTGATGATGGCGTAATGTATAGTATGTACAATCTCACCTTTGGGGGGCTTCATTCAAGAAGCTATGGTTTAGCAAATGCCTGTACAGTTCTAGCCTGTCAGCATGGATCCTTGGTCTGCATCTTGGGTCAAGGAATGTGGACCCCCAGTTGAGTATCTCTTGAACGTTCCTCCTGGACTAGTGTTTCTCAACCTTAGCAACTTTAAGAGATGTGGACTTCAACACCCAGAATTTCTCAGCCAGCATGAAGTCCATACCTCTTAAAGTTCATTAGCATGCTGGCTGGGGAATTCTGGGATTGAAGTCCAAACCTCTTAAAGTTGCCAAGTTTGAGAAGCACTGTCCTAGACATTTTGCTTCTCTTTTCCTGCCCCAGGTTCAAGCCACAGCCTATCAGAGTGCGAAGCTCCAGCTGTATGGCCAGCTGAGCGTGCAAGAGTTGAGCAAATGGCCTCAGAAGCAGCTGGTGGACGGCTTTTGCAGATAGATTGCCCTGGGCAGGTGAAGACCATCCAAGCAAATTGATATGAGCAAGTACAAGCCAGAGCTTCTCCTCTGTTTCTTTCCCTCATATAAGGGAAGCTCTTTGGGCAAGAAATATATGAAATGCTATTTTTTTGTTATCTTGTTCTTACAGCAGTTCTTTTCTATGGAATAATAAGGAGGAGTGTCGTTCATGTGTATTGATCGTTCTGACTTTTCAAACTTCTTACATAGATTGATTTTGGTTAGATCCACTCCAGTTGCATTTAATGCAATGCTAAAGGATGCTGAGGAACAAGTGAGCCTTTGGTATCTGCCCCCTCCCCACTCTCTCCCCCCTCGCCCAACATAGCCTTGAGGTCTTTTTCACGTCTGGTTTTGATTAACTGCAGTTTGTCAGCACCATCAAACCTTCAGTGGTGTTTATTTGAACTGTGATTGTTGATATTAGTAAGTTTCAACCCACAACTTGTAAAACTAGGTAGTTTCCACAAGTAAGTACGGTTAACTGTTAAGTACTGTGGACTACAGTTTTAGTTTCAGGCATAATGTTAAAATAAGATAAATGAGAGGTTCCAGACTGTGCTGGTGAGGCAGAACTGTGTAATCCCAGGCCTTCCACCAACACCCCAGAGTTAATCTCTTACATTTTGCCCCAGTGTGGCAGTTAACAAGTGAAAAAGATGCACAAATATGTGAGAACAAAACAGCGTGAGTAATTTCCTGTACTGGCCTTTTAAAAAATCCAGATACTTCTAAAAAGCAAACCTTTGAACGATGTTGATGGTGGAATTTGTTTTTTTTATCTAAGTTATGAAAAATATATATTACCTCTGCAGATGAGAAACTTCTTTTCTTTCAGAGTTAACATTAGGATCTAGATAAGCAAGCAGGGTTATTTTAAAACAAACTACAGTGTAATTACTTTCATTGTCGTCCCCATTTTTAATTTTCAGCACTGTCCTTGGTTTTGAGGGGAAATTGCAGGATGCGTGCAGATTTTTCTTAGATAAATGTTATTGATGCTCGTTTGGAAATGCGTTTGCTCGGCTGCTGCTTTTGTAGAGCAAACTTTGCTGCCACCATCCAACTTGGGAAGCGCTGGCATTAGACGTTCTTAGCTGCTTGTGTTCTGGACAAGTGCATCTTGCTCCAAAATGCTACCCAGCACAGTGACCTTGTTTAATGTCATGCTAGGCCTTAATGTGGTTTGTTTGGGTTCGGCTTGATACACTGTGAGACCCTATCAGTTGTGTTTTATTCAATAAACCGTCATTAAGCAAACTGGTCTCAGCAAGATGTGTGGATATGTTCAACCCCTTCTTCCCTTACAGATGCTAGGGGTAGTCTGAGGGGTGTGGAGGTCTGGAATCAGGGCCAATCCAGGGGAGATAGCACAAAAGGTTAAACTTGGGAGCAGAATTGTGAGAATTCAAGAGGAAAACAAAGCCAGCTTGGCGGAAGGAGCTCAACTTTGGGAGATTCAGAAGCAGGAGTAGTAAGACAAGCAGTTGTATTAGTCTTTTAGCAAATCCAGAATGTATTGGGGACAGCAACTTTCACATTATAGTTACACTCTGTGAGATGGGTGGCTATATAAATATGAAAGGAAA